AAAAAAAAAAAAAAAAAAAAAGCAAAATGACGCGGATTTGACGTGCATACAAGGGATTATGGAAACAACAGCAAGGAGTTCAAAGATCATTGCATCAATGATATCAGCGACGAATAACTGGTGCAACAAGCAACCTCGTCATTTACTTCCAAAAATGTTACAGTGAGAAGGTGAACTGAACCTCCTGTAATAGATCATTTTGAAATGTACGTGGCTTCAACAGATATGAGTGACCTAAAGAGCAAGTTACCGTTATCACCAACTAGATAGAACTCCTCCCAACTGCTGATGAAGTTCTGAAAGGTTTATCACGTGCACTTGAAGAAGTGCCAATGGAATATAACGAACGTTTACAGTAAACTGAAAAATTCACCAACTTGTAAATGTCGCTGCAAGACCAAATCATTGGCAAACTTTCACTACCGTTGCACTAAAAAATGTTGGCATGTTAACTGCGGTTCTGCTCCACTATTAGCTTTAGCCGTAAGCACCTGAATTGAGTAAGTCCCAACACTTCGCTATTGTACATATTACTTCTTGAAATAGAATGAACTGTGGGGGTAATGAAATTTTTTCCAAAGTCAATGTCTGCGTAATTTTTATGCATTTTCTGCGAAGTATGCGGTTTCTGTGTTTAATTTATATTTTAAATGCAAGAAGGGTAGTTTTTGTTCAAACATTACAATGCAGCTTGTAAACAAATTAGGTTTTTGCGTAATACTGAGACCGGCTATTGGAACCTACTGTTATATCTAATCTGTACGATCATGGTTGCAGAAGTGCAAAAAATATAGTTTAGGAAACGCGTTACAGCGTGATAATAGTCTCATAGGAGGTTAACGTGTTCTTTTTTGGTTGAACTACGGACCGAGGGTTACCAACGTCGTCAACCTTTAGTGTTTTTAAGACGAAATTGCGACTCCTGACTTTTTTTTTCTGTTTCCAAGTCTGAAAAGATTTGAAAGTGTATTGTTTCTTCCTCAGTTTTATACTGATAGCTACCGGTTAGCTTCTTAGAACATTTCGTACTTTACTCGAGACCGATGAAAATCTTTGTACTTTTTACATTAGGAAGTTCTATAGTGCGAAGGAAAACGCAGTTTTTGTTGCGAAAAAAAAATCATTTTGAGGGACCTGTAGTTCTGTTTATTTCGAACAGATTTTTAAACTTTCCGCTTTTTTGAAACCCCACCTCTTGCAGGCTCAGAAGAGTGGTGAAACCCGTATAAAAGGAAATTAGAAAAAAGGTCAAAGCAAAAACAAGTTTAAAAAAATCATCTGAAATTGTGTCAAGTTTTTTGCCGGAATATACCTTTTGAGGGCATATTCAATTTGAATTTGGTACGAGAATTTTTTAGGGTGTAGAAGTGCTTTGTTCTGGAAAGATTCCAGTGGCCCTCGCAACGCTACGATGTTGTACAGAGGCACTTGGAGGTTATCCGACTGACCTCTGCTAAACTTTTGTATTATACATGCTTGAATGATGTGTTACATATAATGTGCTGTTCATCAGTGTTTTAACTCCTTGCATTCGAGATTTCTTGTTTTTGGCTTTTTTTTAGGAGTTGAGCAAACTAACTTTGTTTACTGCGAGAGAGCAGCTGCTGGCTGGTTCTCTTGGTAATAACAGTCTAAGCAACAAGGAATTAAAAAAGGTTTAAGAAAGTAAGGCGGGGACAGGGACATTGTAAGGAAGATAAACGTCCCTACAATGACAGTCTAAAAAAATTTGATTTTTTAATAAGTAAGAAATTACTGATGAAATAGTAGAGGGTGGTAGGGAATGGAAGTATTGTTGGCGTTCATGTTTTTTTTAAATTCTTGGTAAAAATAGCTCATTTTTTCATTGAAATTCAGGCAAAAATGTAAGGTTATAATAGAACGTAACCTCGGAGATTCTTCTGCGTTTGGAAGAGGGATTACGGTAGTGCCCTTCGATGACCGCAGAAAAAATTTAGTTGTAGTTTAAGTTAGAGCTTTTTACCTGACCTACCCTACAAGTTCCGCAGTTATTTTGGCATTATTTTTTTTCGTAACATTTCTGACTAAATACACTTTGATGAAGTTCACTGAATTTTGGCTCGCTTGCTGAGTTGTTTGCTCGGATTTGATTTAGAGGTTTTATTCTTTTTTTTTTTTTCTTCATCGTTGAACTATAAATTAATTTTAAACTTGTTTTTCTGCTAACCGTTTATCTTTTCATGTGTTTCACTGAATCTTCTTTCCGTGCAATTGCTAAACCACCTTCACTGAACTGGTAGTAGACTTCTATCGAGCCTGCACTTCTTGTGATAGTTTTTCAATTCCAAACTTTCATAATCTACTTGTTGCAAATGAGACCTTGAGTAACAGATGTTAACGGTGAGATTCCTGAAACCTACATTGAGCAGACAAAGTAAAATTCAGAATTTCACATCATGATGTCACTTCGTTGAAAACTAAGATCTTCTGTTTGCTAGTATGGTATAGCAGTTGCTCTCTAGGACAACATAATGAAAGTTTAGTTAGGCAATTTCAGTTTTAAAGTGGTAGAGCGCAGCGTTAACCCAAGCTTCTCTTTCTCACTGGCCTGTCATTCAAGGGAGCCGCGCTATTAATTATGACCCCGTTTAGACCAGAAGTAGTGAGTTTTGGAAATCTGCTAAAGAAAAGCTATTCGTGGTGCTTTTTTTTAGTCAGTGGCCTTATCTCGTTTGCCTAAATAAAACCTCGATGATTGCTCAGGCTTTGCGCTAGTAGACATGATTTATCTAGACACTGATTTACTCCTAATTTAGAGCGAAAATGTCTTTTTTTGCAGAAACCCCAGTAGTTCAAACCCCAGTGGTTCTGGCTCAATGCCACTGCGCTCTACGGAGGCAACCGAAGATTATTTTACTTACTTCCGTGGTGTGTTGAACTTCCTTGTCACATGTCTAAATGATATGTTACTCATAACATGCTGGTCACTTTACCAATTTATTTCCCAAATTTTTTGCTTCTTCGCTCTTTTTCCGTTGAGATTTTGGAAGAAATGTAACGGGATTTTCGTTATTAACATATACCTTTTAACTTATTTACTGCTATAACTTGTTTAGTTCTGCTAGAAATATCCCTTGTTTTTAAATCTACGTAAAAAGAAGTTAGGAAATGTATTGAAAAAAACAATGTGCCCCAATAGATGAATGGAAAAGTTTTCAAGGAGGAGCTCAAAAAAATACAGTTCTCTGTCAGAAGAGAAAACATTAAAAAGAACGGGTAATGAACAACAAAAGAAGAAAAAAAGTGAAGAGCAGAAAACTGGCGCTTAATGTTTTTCATATTTTTGGTACAAAAAAAAACAGCAAGCATATTTCTCTAATGAAACGCGGGAGAAAGGAACATTAATGACTTCTGCTGACTGCTGAGAAAAACACTGGCTTAAGTCTAAACTGAGGCTTTTTTTAACTGGCTTATTCTGGGAGTTTTGGGACTACCTCGGCGTCTTTCTGCTCGTTTGTGACTAAATAACAGTTGCTGAACTTTACTGGAATCTAATATCCTCGTTGAGTTATTCGCTGGAATGCAATTTAGAGGCTAATTTCTTCTTTCCTTCACCTTTACCTCTTTTGTACAACATGGAAAAATGCAAAAAACTCAGCACGGAGCACTCAGCCACAACTGCAGCAAGCAAAATAATAGCAAACTCTTTGCAAATGCTCAATCTAAATCAAATATTAAGCAAAAAAAAATTGGTTAGTCACGCAAAAAAAAAAAACAATCCGTTTGTATCTACAAATAGTAAGTTTTTCAAAATAGCTAGTCTGAGTACTCTACTAAGAGACTTCGCTCGTTTTAAATCAGAATGGAATTTGTACGTAAAAAACAAAAAAAAACCCGTTGCCTACGATAAACTCAATTTTTAAAAAATTAGGAAACAAAAGTAGCAATAAGGAAATCAGTCCTAACATCATATTTCATCATATATTTCAAATGTGGCTGCAAAAATTAACATAGGGCAGGAGATAGCGCTATAGATCTGGAGCAATCAACGATGTCAAAAAACCTGCAGTTTCGCAATAATATGCCAGGTAAACACTGCCCGATTTGAATTTAGGCCAGCACTTCTACAAGTTGGCAGTCGACCGCATCACCGTAATTTTGATCCCGCTGCGGAAAAATTTTCACAGCAAATTTAAAATGTGTATAAACCTTGGTTACGGGCCCTAAAAAATTGTTGCGAAATTCTAATTCTGAAGACCGTCGTAATTCAGGGTCATCAGCTTTTCAAATTAGAACTCGCATATCAGCGTAATATGCAGTTTAATAATCACGATACCTTTTTTGAGCATACGAAATTCTCTATAACACGTATACCTCTCTTCGAGCCCTTATTTGGAGCAGCGAAAAATATGCTGCTTCTGCCGGAGCTCTATATACCAGATCCGATAAAAGTTGTAAAAGAAGGCTGCCAACCTCTAACTTGTAAAAAATTCAAACAGATCCTTATTGGAGTGAAAACATTCAGATTTGTAACAGTAACAGAGACCCGTTCCTATCGTTAGCTGCTTTTAAAAACATTTCAAAAAATAAACAGTAAGAGCGTTGACGCTGCCTCGAATGTCGTTTTAAAAAGAAAAAGGTAACATGACTCTGAACAATTTTTTTAAAGCAAGAAAAAAAAAGATTTTGATTAAAGCCGGCATTAGTTCTTCATCCCCATTTGTTTGTACCTGAGAAACCCGAGGTTAAATTGGCACGTCTTCAAATTATTTGTGACTACTTTTCATTTTCCACTCATGTATTCATTAGTAGTATTCACTCCTTCATTTAGCATGAAAAGTACGCTATCCAATTAAGATCAATATTTTTAGAACGTGACGTTTGGTTTTATGTGAAAATACAAAGTATTCCGTCAGTAGCTGTTCAAAGCCAAATGTTCAGCTCCATCCGCCGATACCTTTGGAACCAACTAGTGAGCTTGGTGGACGTCACAATGGGCAAGATTACATTGTTGATTTTTACTTAATATTTCCAGATAAAGCAGAGTCATATCTTAAAAATACTGTTCGTGCTGAATAGCATATTTTTCATGCTACCTAAGGGAATGCATAATACTGCTAAATAAATAACTGGAAAACAAAAAGCCAGCTCCCAATTCATGTACAATCGTAAAGAAGAAGCTACAGGCAAGTAACCTTCAACCTGTAGTTCCTCCCAAAAATGTACGCCACACCTAGTATGAGACAAGTATCAAAATATAGCGCATTTTCTGCGCTATCTCACTAGCCTCTCGGCATGTGCGATTGTACGGACTAAATATATAACCTTCCAGAACCAGTCTAAGTATCACAATATAAAAATAGGATGTTCAGATACTGTTTTATAACCTTTAAAAAAGCCTTACTTACAGTCAAAAACATAAAATAAGCGAAGAGACTGCATGTGACACAGAAAACAACTACAAGGAAAACTCCAATCCCCTCGAAGTTAACTCTATTCAAAGAAGGAACACACAGTCTTGGAAGTGTTGAAACTCATCTAACTTAAGAGCGCCCAGCAATATCGAATCGCCGTGGGAATTATAGCTTGGGAATAAAAAAACGAGCACACCTTCTGCGCTAAATTCTTCCTAACAACGGTCCCATAATCCGTTATATTGTACTTAGTCTAGTACATCACACCAACGGTCATGCTGCGCCTCACGACAAAATCTACCCTACTATTCGGTGCTAGCATCAGGAACCTTAAAACTACGTTCCCACTCTTTTTCAAGAACTTTTGGGGTCAGTCACAGTTTTCAAATTAGTGAAGGCTGATAGCGAACTTCAGATAGAGCAGTCTTTGAAGTGTTTCCCAGTAACTAAAATAAAGTTTATCAATCATCAAGCACGAAACAAACAAATGTTAATTGTTAAAAAAATGTAAATGGAATATTAGAACAACAGCTGAGACTGCAACCACACAGAAACAAGAAATCCGGTATAATGTAATTCAAACAGTGGCTGTTGACTGAGAAATAGCGAATATAGACCTATCCACTGTAAATTTCGCAACAAATACCAAAACAGGACGTTCGGGAAAAAAATGTTGAATCCATTATTACAAAATTTTATCAACACATGACACCTATGTAAAATCATGGCATTCATTGAATGTAACTCCAAATAGCAACCCAGAGCAAAAATTTAAAAAGACACGTTCAAAATTAGAAATACAAATGGCGCTCAATATGAACCATCAAAATAAAAAACCTCACAAAAGTTTTTTAAACTGCACTGGTAACACCACACTGCATATTTCGGAGTAAACATTTTAAAGCTAAAATCTCTTACCAGCCAGTCAAAAATCATCCTGGCAAGCCAAGAAATTCAGACTTTGCGAAAACTCAACAAATTGTATCACCTAAATGAAGAGCTGAACAATTTTAAAATTTTTAAGGAGCCAAACAAAAAAGAACTTGCAACAAAACGAACAAATAAATAACAGACACAAATTTAACACCACAAAACTTACACAAATATTTGAAACGAAAGCGCATTGTTCGAACGCGTGATGCAACACCAACCAAAATCAATAAAAAAGAAAAACTAATAGCTTCTCAGTATTAAAGGTCTCATTCGGCAATTATCACAGCTAATTGGATATATACAATTAGCTCGGCAAACTTTCGCAAAAGATTTCTTATATCATATTCTCAAGCTAAAATTTGAAAACATCCACTTTTAAAAGCTCCAGAAGATTTTGCTATAGACGTCGGCAAAGTTCTGATAGAGAACTGACGAATGTCACTTATCCACAGTAAAATAAAATTAAGAACAAATCCCATTTTAAGAATGAAGCCGCAACTATGTGTACAGAAATAAAAGCAACAACAGTAAAAACATCTGTGAGGTGCTTGTCAAAACAAACCTTTGAAAAAATCGGCTATAAAACGAGCCCGTCCATATTGAGATGCATCAGACGTTTGAGGTTCTTATTTGTACAACCCGTTCGCAAGCCAGAATACGAGTCCGCAAAAAAGTAACAAGCAACGTTAGAACAATGATAATGAGCTTAAACTTAAAACAAGTACAGTAATGAAAGAAAAACTCTGCATTAAGAAAATCAAGCAAAACTCCTTCCTAACAACTGTACACACGAGATTAAACGAAAACAAAGAGCCAGGAAAATGGGTAGTAATCAAAAGAAGCACCGAAAAGAGTTAACAAAAAAGCTAATTTGGTTTAATGTTGCACGATGCGATACAATGAAAGCAATTAACTGAAAAAAGAAAAGTTGGATTAAAACTGACTTGAAGCTTCCAATACGAGCCTCAGCAACTGAAGTTTATGGGCAAAAAATTTCCAAAAGCTTCACTCAACCCCCATCTGTAGAAACTGTAAGAACAGGAGTGTACAAGGAACCAAACACTGCCAAAGCAAATTACTCTTCCAATTCACTGAATACCAAATTCTCTTGATTTTGGAAAATATCTATTATCACGATCAGAACCACAAATATGTGAAAGACTCAGGCGACTAGCGCAATTATAAAAAGAGGCATCCGCCACTACAA